ACTAGTTGCGGTAAAAAATATAATTGTAAAGCAGATTAACCGGATAAACGTCAGCAATTTGTATTTAAGCATAAAAGTCTACTTCTTAGAGATGGAACGTTATTGAAGCTTCCGCTGCGACGAACATTTTTAAAGCTGACTACGTTATTGGGGGCGCCTTTTGTGTTGACATAAATACCGATTAGCATATAGTTATATTGTTTAAATCACTTAGATAGATATGCAGCATTTTTTGACGTTTTTTAGTGCTTTTTAATATTGCTTAGCAAATCCTACATTCTATTCACTGAAAATTTAATAATAATAATAATAATTTAATTTGGCGCTTATACTCTAACAATAATGAAACCATATATACCATTGTAAAGGTTTTTTGTGTAGATGAAGAGCGTACATTTAAACTAACCAGAGACGAATAGGAAGACGAATTCGATTACGATGACGAAAATGCATACGAAGACGAAGGTGAGGCGAAGAAGAGGATCAATACGAGGGCGAATGCGGAGTTGAATACGAAGATGACGACGAAGATAAGTCGAAGAAGAATACCACGACGAAGGCTAATGCACTTACGATCCGAATACCAATACGAAGAAAGCGACTTAAATGAAGGCAAATTCGAATAAGAAAGGGATCCGAAGTCGGGGTGGAGGATACATACCTAGAACAATATGACAACAAATACGCAGTAGAATACGAATCCAAATATTAAGACTAATACGAATACATTGCGAAGACGAATACGAAGATATCGACAATAACGAACGCGACGGTGAATGCAAAAGCTTCTTAATACGAAAACAAATACATACATATGTAAGTATATGAAGACAGAGACTAAAAGAAAGACAAAAAAATCTGCAGAAACTTAAAAAGAAAACTAGAAAAACGGCCGATTTTCGGCAGTAACTGATATTGTTTGTACCAAATATATGAAAAAAAACACATTTTGTTATATCGAACCCTAACCACTGAATTTTTCTCAAAATTTTCTTTTTGATGCAGAAATGTTCTTGAAGTATTCAGATGCATATCAGCATCGAAAATGAAATTAAAAAAAAAAATTGGAGATGTCAATTGGATTACTGAGACAAGAGAAGCATATCTAAGGTAGCTGCGTCGCAATCTTCTTAAAGGTGGACAGAGCGGATAACTTGCAATACAACTTTGGAAGTGCTAAAATACATATAATCCCTAGTTTTTGTAATGTAAGAGCAAAGCATAATATTGGATGTCCAGCCATAAGTTAGTGCTTCCCACAGTTATTGAATACCTTCTTGTCTCACTTTTCAATATTTAACCTCCAGAAAAAGTCGCTGTTCATATACATGTTCACATACTTTGCTATATAGCTTAGTAAAGCGTATTTTGAAGCTCAAGCGGTGACCAGTATGGCATTTTATGCTTTCCTGTAAAAAGCACTAAATATCAAACCCAACTCCCTTAATCAGTGGCGATTATCTTTCAGTATTATCTCGTGCATTTCACTCACAGAGTCTGAACGTCTACCAGAGATAGAAATTGCCTAGTCTAGACTATGGAAACCTTGTTTTAGTTTCTGGGTTCTCGACAAAAACTGCAATGGTGAAATTTCAGTAGTGTACAATTCTTTATTTCCAAAACCATACCTTGAAGATCGACATATTTCTGAAACGTTTTCAGTAAGAACGAGATGAAAATTATAGGATAGTAGTTAGGGGAAATTTGCTTATTTTACCTCGTTTTATAATAAATGCAAAGCATGCTCATTAAACCTGATCAAACCGCATGATCAACATTATATCTAATTTTTCAGAAGCACTGGGGAATAAATTGGGTTAACCGATCACAAAGCTCATCCCAATCTGCTGGCTTAAATATATTTTTTTACAAATAATTTTAAATACTGTACACACTAGGGTGCTAGCGGTCCTAAACCTCTCTAGCCGTCTCAAACAGTTTTATGCACCGGTAGACTAACAGTGCTCCTGAGCGGTCGAAGCATTTTGGAAATATCAGTTTTTTTCATTTCACGTTTAAATAGCCATATGGGTGGTTCTCGTTATCTGACCACTGCGTGATGAAAGCTGGAGTAATTTCGAATTCCCGGTACAGACTAACGCTTTACCGGTTAATGTTTCATAAGGCAAAAGTTTTCTTATAGCTGTCACTGAAGCCTGGGCAGCTTCCGCTCCACAGCAGGTAATGACATACCTGCGTTTGTATTTCTACTTCTTCTTCTCATAAAACAATTTCCCGCCATTCAGAGGCAGCGTAAAATTTTACTTTATCAAAACGCGCACCAAGAGATTTAGACATCACAAATTTGGCTCTTAGTGACCGAGCTCCCAATTCAACTTTTATCGCCACCTTATCGATTTATTATTACAAAATTAGAATTTAAAAACAAAACTAATTATTTCCCGCGCTATGGCGCTTTCTATTCTTTCAAGCCTATCTTTGGCGTAAATTAAATGGTTTGGATAATACTTTTGCCCTAAAATTCCACGGTTTAAGGTATCAAACAAATTATGTTGCTGATTTGACACTAAGGCGAATCGTAAATTTTTTGTCATTGGCAATTTGTTGCCTATTTGCTAATGTCCGTAAATTTTTACTTTCACTCACAATACGACGCACAACAAATCTGTATGTATTTAGGTTTGTATTCCCACTTTCAATATCAGCCGAATGTTTGAATTACATCAAATTGCCAACATTGATTTATGGTCGGTTCATTTGTAAATGGTAAGCAGGTAATTGAGCGGCAATTAAAATGTCTGACTGCTCTTTAAACCTCTATGTGCACATACATACATATGTACATAAATACTTAGTATAAACATTTCTTTAGATTTTGTTAATTGAAAATCTGCGAGTGAAACTTGGCATTTTTGGTAATGGCATTGTTGTTGGCACTCTTATTTAATATAAATCTCTAACTTTTCACACAAGTGAAAAAGCAACAACATAATTTATTACAACCCGTTGAGTTTTAATTCATTTTCTACGCGGTATCAAAAACAATACTACATAAATAGCTGAGCGCTTACTAATCTGATCGCTCGGTCGCCTTTTTTTTGTTTTGCTTTCATTTGTTTACATAAACATTTTCTATCTTTTTTGGCCTACAAAAAAGACCACAACTTTCGTTTGTTAGAAATCTGCATATTTTTTACATATACATACATAAACTTCGAAATGTACATATGTGCATATGTATATTTGTATGGGAATTGTGTTGCATTATTGATTTTTTATTCACATCTTTCACACCTGCAATAAGTCTGTTATGATTTTCTCTTTTTTTCTGGCATTTTCAATCAGCACAACAACTCGAATACAGAAATGATACGAAAACTTTCACTTGTCAACAAATGTTCAATAATATATATTCACCTGAGTCTTTGAATGCTTTTGCTTTACATCTTTCTAAGCTTTTTAAAGCATTTTTGTTTTTCGTTATTCAGTTTTTAGAAATTAATGAAAGTTATTATAATATTTTACTATAATCCCTAAAGGTATTAAAACTTTTTGAAACACTCAATAAAACTTTATATTTTTTAAAGAAATTATCCTTGTGGTTGTGCTGAATATGCGCTGAGTTGACTAAAACGTGTGTTATTATTTTAAATTATGACAGTTTATGCTACTAGTCAAAAATATTGTTTTTCGCTAAAACCCTTTGGCTGAATATGCGCTGAATTGTTGAAAATTTATTAGAATGTTCCTTATTTCGATTTAGATGTAGATTTTTTACTAAATTTTCTGCTGAGTGGGCATTTTTTTCCATAAAAGTTTATATTGTTTTGTAATTATTCTTGCTTTGTGCTGAGTATACGCTGAATTGACCATAACTGAGGTTGTTACTTTAAATTATTGAATTTATGCACAGCAATGAAGAGTTGATTTTCATAATAAGCATGAAGAGCCGATTAAATACCCGTTGAATATCGGCTTTCGAATTTTTGCTGAATAAATTTTTTAATTGCGTCGTCAGCTATTAATATTTACTTATGCTCATTTAAATTATTGCCGAATGAACTGAATTTTGCTATTTATATTAATGGCTTAGCTCAATAGATGCAAATAATTTAAGGTTTGATCGAGTCCAGGTAAATATGAAGGTATACTCTTTCGTAAAGTTTTTTTTTTATTCAAAAATATACATAAAATCAATTCGCCTGCTGAATTATACTAAAATTCACTATATTGCTAAATTTCAAAACCCTATAGAAATTTTTTATATATTATATGTCAATGTTCGATTAACCTTTAGGAAATAAGCATTAATACCTCGTTTATCACAACTGCGTTGAAAATTCGTCCAAGTATTATACTAGAACTACTTACATCGGCAGTTTTGCCTGATTCCCATCTCAATTCGGAAACACACACCGGATCTGTGCACCGGATTTGCTTGATGAACTATCAGCTTCCCAGTGGGAAAATGTAATGTCTAGTAATCGAAAAAATAATCAGCAAAAAATCCTTTGTGATGTCCTAAGAAAAGTGGGGAATTCAATTTTGCATTACCTAGTATCGAGAATAAATGTGTTTTAATATGAAATTTTTGAAACTTTTTGAATACATTAGTATGCTGATTACATAGTTAGCAGTAATATAATCGAGAACTCATCAAAAATACATTATATTATTTATCACGCATGTAATGCATTACTACTTTTCCGAGTGGGGTGTTGTACCTTAAGAAGCGCGATAAAAGATGTGCTGATGTTTTATCAAACAAAATAAAACGTTTTGACTGATCTGGTGCGCTTGCAGCCTAAGTCCGTGAACTTGCACCACAAACTCAATTTTGCTCAGCTCATTTTTCTTCTCACAAATGCAATTCAGCAATAATATTATGCTCAAAATTATCGAACGCATATCTAAGTGTTAACTCATCTCCTTCACAACTCAACTCAATGAACTAAACGCTGAAAATAAATTACCACGTTCATGTACAAATTTTCAACATTTTTTTTTGTAATTTTTAATTTTTTTTTTGGTGATTTTTTATTCATATTTGAATGAAATGCATGCATGACAACGTGATTTAAATAAATACATATAAATTAACATTGTCGCTTTCTATACCTCTCAGTAACTTAAAGTGTTTTTTTTTTAGATTTTCTTAACAAATACCATTTTATATGCGTGTAATTTGAGTGTGTGCTCTTGCTTGATATTTAAATCAAATAATCTTTGTTGGTTTATAGCATTTTAACATTTACAGTTTTTTTTTTACATTTCACTTGCAAAGGACTACTTCACTTCTCTCATAATGTATAGTATGTTAAATAATTTAACGTCAATAAATTAGATACATTTAAACATATGTATAAGAATCAAGTCAATAAATACTTAATTGTCTAACATTATATTTACGCTATAATTTGTGATTGTGAGTACCCTTTGAGTTGAGTAAATGAGTAGAAATTGAAAAAAGAAGTTATGACTCATTCAAAAAGTAAACAAATGAGCATTAATGAGAGAGAGAGAGAGTGTATATTTGAGTAGAGTTTATTGGCAAGAGCAGTAGTATACACAGTGGAAGTGAAAGTATGCAGACAAGTAAGATGATAGTTGAGAGTAGTGGCAATAATGACTGAGATGTATTGAGTTACAGTAAAGGGATGAAAATATAAATGAAAATAGAATCATAGCGAAAGAAAGTTGCAGTAATATTTGGAAAAATAGGTAGACTAGAGTAGATAGCGAGTAAAGGTGAAGAGTCACACAAAGACAGTAAGAGTTTGAAGTACACGAGGTGAAGAATGACAGAAAGCGAGTGATAGTTTGTGATAGAGGAGCGAAATTTAAATGTTATAGATGAAAAAAGTGAAATTATGTGAAGAATGACAGAAAGAGAGTGATAGTTTGTGATAGAAGAGCGAAGTTTAAAATTGAGAGATGAAAAGAGTGAAAATATGTGAAGAATAACAGGACAAGAGTGAAAGTTTGAAATAGACGAGCGCAGTTTAAAAGTGAGTTGAGCGAAAACTAGTTTAAATGAGCAGAAAATAACGTAGAATAAGAGTTTAAGTTCTTGAGTGAGTAGAATGAAAGTCAATGAGTATAAAAGTGAGAGAGTGAGCAGTTTATTTCGAAACCTATGGCAAGTTATGGCGATGACCGAAATTAGTTGCGAATTCATTTTTATAAATGGAAAATAGAAGTTGTATGAATTCCAGGAACAAGAATTAGTTTTGATGGAAAGTGAAAGAGATAAGTGCAGATACAGACATGGAGGAAGTGAGTATGAGAGAAATTAAGTGTGAGAGAGAGAGCTAGTTAAAAAGGAAGAGAGAGCTATAGAACAATAATGCAAATTTCGCACGAAATTTGTTAAAATTAAGACAGAAAGCAAGAAAAAGTTTGAGTGAGAGAGCTAGGTAAAGAGAAATAAAAAGATTTAGAACAATAATTCAAATTGTGCATGAAATTTGAAGTCTTAAAAGTAATTGAGCATTTTTTAAAAGAAATTGCAAGATCGAGTTCAGGAGAAAATTATATAGACGTTTTATATATGTTTTCTCAATAAAACTCTCACATCATTTAAATGTGTTTGTCTTTGTATTTGTATGCGTAAGACTAGAATTATAATTGAAAATACAGTAATATAGTAAGTAAGTAGACAGTAGATTTAGGGAAAGCTTAGAATAGCATTCAATTAAAATTTGTACAGAAGAAAGCTAAGTTTGAGTATTAGATTATTAAATATTAAAGCGAAACTTAAGAGTAAATAAGAATAGTCTAAGGAGTATTTGAAGATAGTACGAGTGCGTAGATGAAAATATGAGCGAAGGGGACTGATTTTTTGTATGTGGCTATATTGTGAGTGTCTTAGCTTTTAAAGCTCGAACATGTATGCTTTCATGTGTGCGTTGCGGTAATGAGCAAAGAAAGTGTAGTAAGTAAGTCAGTTTTGTGCAGAAAGTAATGAAATGTGATAAGGGAAAGATATTAACATGAAAAAGTGAGAATATAAATAGCAAAAGTTCAATAGAAAGATTAGAAGAAAGACTTGAAAATGAAGTTGCAAGCAATAGAATATTGAAGAGTTAGAGCTTACAAAAAAAGTATCCGAGGATGAAGAACTGAAAGTTTGCAAGAAAATCAGCTGCAAGTGCAAATAGCAAAGAAATGTAGGCATGAAAATAAAGAAAAGTTGTTGCTAAGTACAGTTAGATGAGTTATAAGTGCACTTAGAGCGCTATTATACGAGTACATGTGTGTTAAGTGCGCACAGTCTTCGCTGTGGCAGTAGATGTGGCTGGGGCTAGTTGATCTGCTACCGCTTATCGCTAATCGCTTTGCCAGCTGGAGGTCAGCACACAACGAGCCGCAATGTAAATATATACTCTAATTGCAATTAAAGCATTTCCTTTTAAGCACTAGGCTGGCGTCCGTTTGTTTTTGCATACAATGCTGCATAGCTGGCGTGCAAAAAAGGAAAAGAAATGTATACAAATTTATTAAGGTACCGACTTCGTCTCTCATTTTCTCTGCTAGTTTTTACATAATCTTAAACAGCTTGTGGTTTTAGAGTTAGCTTAAAAGAGAAGTTACTAAATCATAAAATTAATTAATTTACAAATAAATACGTAACAATGTGTATGTAAATAATTATGATATAAAAATGCACACACACAAGTTTTTCGGTTTTAAATATTGTTTTTATACGTTTTTCTTCTGCATATTTTTTGTATTCGTTGTACTTATTTGTTTTTTTTTTGTAATTTTTTCCATTGATCCAATAGGTCAAGGTTACGCGTTGCTTTGATTTGTGTCTCGTTTTCTTTTTTGTTTAGAAAGTTAAGAGTAGAAAATAAATTAAATAAATTAGTTAGAAAATAAATTAATATAATTAAAATTTGTGTTCTTAATTTGTTTTTCTGTTCTTAGGTCTTGTGCCCGTTGTGTCGTAGTAGTTGCGCATCGACCGTGGCTGCGCACTCTTCAAATAATTGCATATGAAAACACATGCCTAAGTTCGACCGTCGTCATGTCGTACGCCCCATTAAATGTTGCTTAGTTGCCGGTCGCTTCGCCTGTCCACTTGTCTAAATCGTATTTCGAATCGTTGTGTTTGTCGTTGGGTTGTAGCTCAAAATATTGTGCCCCTTCCAAATGTCGTCGTTATCTACACTCTCCCTCTGCGCACTTATGCTTGCGGCTTTTGGGCAGCATACGCCAAGTCTTGTGCATCGAGCGAGCGTCCCCAGCCACCGTGACCGGAGCTGCCGTATGAACCAGAGGAGCCAGCATCTGCGCTGTAGCCGCTGCCGTACGAGTCATGGCTGATGGAATGCGATGAGCTGTGGTGTGGGTGTGCGACCACTTCATAGGTGACATGCTTCTCCTGTGACAACAGCTTCTTCAGGCCGATCACAGCCGACAGCACCAAGGCGATCTTACCGATGAGCAGAGCCTTACCGGCAATCAAAGCGATCGCGCCCAACAAGAGTGGCAGCAACGCGGCGGCCTTGAGGGCAACTAAAGCAAGAATGGGGCCCAAGATTTTGGCAGCCTTCTTCTTCTTGCCACGGCTCTCTTCGGTCGCGTTGGGGTCGTCGCTACCGCCGAACAACGATTCGGAAACATCTTCGAGCGCACGTCCAGTTGAGCTGACGGCTTGGACAATATCGGCGCCCTTCAATTCAACTTTGATGGTGTGCGTATTCAGGAAGCCAGAAATGCGGTTAAGTGCCAGCGATTCGAATGACTCATCGCCGGATATGGAACGTGCGGCCTCGGTGACGGGCGCATCGGGTGAACGCACCACCGTTACACCTTCGGTCAGCGAGAATTGTTCGCGGGCGGAGAGCACTTTGTCGACGAAGTTGAAGAGCTTGTACTTGACGCACGACACGGAATCCTTGCGCAGGCAATCGCTGTAGATGCTATCCATGATGTCGTTGTCGCCGCTGACGGCGTTGCGGGCATGACCGCGCGTCTCCTCGGCGGGCAGAGCGGCAGCAACTGTGATTAAACACAAAACACCGAAAATCGCTTTCTTTTGTGACATTTTTGCGAGCACTTTTGTTTCGTTTATTTGTAAGTTATTTGTTGGCTTGGTTTTCGTCGTCGACAAATTTCAGAACGCGAAATTTGTTCGTTATGTATTTAATTGTTGTTGCGAAATTTTTTTCCGTTTTTGCTTTGAAACTATTCAGTTGAAAGTCCTTTTATTTGGTTTTCGTTTTTTAGTTTTTGACATGAAATTTGAACTTGTACACTTTCGGTTGAATGCACTTTCTCTTTTGTCTCCAATTTATTCTTTTTTGTTTTTTTTTTGTAGCAAACTTAAAAAAAATAGTCTATCCACACTCAACAATAACGGTATCGTACGATAAAAGCGCACCACTCTGCCACTTAGATTATTTGTTGCTCGGGTTGTGTTGCCGTTTAGACGTGAAAGGATGAAATGATACAATTTTTCAATAGCCCCAACAATTTATATAGCGACTACACTCTTCTTCAGCAACGTCAGCAGCGGCCGCAAAGTCACTGTAAGTCGCACATGGCGGCAGACACAGCCACCGAAGACGCGAGCATTGCCAGCGGACGAGCGAAATGGCTTGAGCAAGCGCCAGAGCAGCAAAAGCTACATATATACATACATATATATAAATATATATAAGTGCAAGAAGCAGCAGCATAAGCGTAAATTCATATTCTCCATATGGCAACAACAAAAAATATAAAAGCACCATACAGCCAGTAAACATTTGCCTATATTACCATTTCGCATTTCTCTTCTGCTGACACTTAGTTGCCGCCAAGACGCTGCTGTTTCTGTTTTTGTTTTTGTGGCATTGTAACCGCTGTTGCAGAGGTTGCTCTGCTCTTGCTCTTTTCACTGCCACTACAATCATTGTCAGTGTCAAAGTGCTGAAGGCAATGCTGGTGGTATCAACGGCAGCAGCAGCAGCAGCAGCAGCAGCGGCAGCGGCAGCAACAGTGGCAGTGGCATTGCCAAAGCAATTGAAGACTGGTTCAGCAGGTTTCTCGCTTAAGTCTTTCATTTTCGAGTTGACGCAGTTTCGCTTGCTGCATGCGGCTCTTAGTAGCAGCGTCTCTTGTTTAACTTAAATGAAGTAAGTATGAACACATGTAAGTCTGTTTGATGGCACTATCAATTACAACAACATTGGCTGTAATTCCATTTGCGATAATAAAAAAGTGTTATGTGTGAAAAAGTAGAAAACAGTGGAAGTTCAGTGCATAAAATTTGAGTTGGAATTAACAATTAATTTTGTTGCATGCAGGCGGGAACAGCAAACCAGCATAAATACGTAAGTTCACCATACGATGATAATATGCCGCCGACAGGCTGACAAAGGCAAATACAAGGATATGAACTTTCGAATTTTAAATGCAAATGCCAATATGCTTAATTTATACTATAAAGGCGTCCCTAGGGGGAAGAAAGAGTTTTAGTACTTTTCCAAATTTTAATTAATCGAAAATTAACTCGCCTACGGTAAGACCAATTTCCATACTTATATACTTCGAGGCTCTTAACAAAATTAACCCCATGTTGCAAGAGCCCATATCACACATACATACAAGATTACCAATTTCCTAATCAATACATATTGTAAAATGGAGAGCCCTATGCGCCTGCCTATTAGTTTTCTTTATGGTTTTCATTAGTGGACGGTGTAATTTATGAGAAATAGGGTTTTCGAATATAATTAGTTTATGTTTTGCATAAAATTTACATAAAAAATTAAAATCAATTAAATAAGTGAGTTAGGTTAACTATCACAATATAAATATTAAAGAAAAGCTATTAAACAATAAGACAATGACATTGTTAGTATTAAACAACAATCACTTTGATTCATTTCAGGTTTGAGTTTGATAAAATTAACCAATTTTGCATACATTAAGAGGCAGAAACTACTGCCAGCCGTTGACTAAGGTCCCCGGGGTATGTGCTAGCCGCGTAAAAATAAATATTTTGTTTGAAAATGTGTCCGATAGGATACGCTGGAGTAGAGGTATCTACAAAACGCTTATTTGGAGTCCAATTTAGTTAAAATTAAAAACTAGTTTTACCCATACAAGTAGAAAATTGTTTTTTTGGAAAAGCATCCCTAAAGGCGGCGCTGGAGTCGATATATCTCTAAAGCCTGTATTTAAAGTCCATTTGGATTTGAATTCAGCACATTTGTCTATGAGCCGTTTATTTTGAAATTGACATATATAAGTCCATTGAACCATCATAAACAATTTACAAAACTTTGTACCTTTTCCCGATGAAGTTGAACGAATTTAAGACGCGAGAAAGGTTTTTTGCTAAAATGGGCTGATAGGTGTCGCTGCAAGGAAGATATCTCTAAAAATGTTAGCTACTCGATAAGTACTATTAGGGTCAGATTGTCTCGAATTCATGAGGTACCGACTTAATTGTGGGAAAAATTCTGGACATGCGGGTACATCGGTTATATAATTATAGTAAACCCATTGTAAGTTTTAAATGGCTAAGCACTCGCCTTGATTTTCAATGATTCTTTCATGCCGACGCCACAATTTATACATTTTTGTAAGAGGCACTTCGATACTTTTCGAACTGTAGATCGCTTACGCTGATTAGGAGATCTCTTCATGAGATATTGACGAATAGCTCCGAAAAGTATCAAAAAAAATACGCTTTTCGAAAAAATCTTGAAATATCTTTGAAAAGAAAATTGTGTACTTATTTCGTGTTCATCCAACCAAATATGCTTGAAAAACTATAAGTTAATGCGAATAGTATAACATTTGTAGAGTACTGTTACTGATACTTGTGGTGCTGGTCTCCATTTTATTGCCGTCCATTGTCTATGGCCACATAAAATTTAGAATGCATTGTAGTTGTTAATCAGTTATCAATACTGCTTATATGTTGGGCTCCCGCCATTTATTTTAAAATGTCAAAGTGTCAAATGCGGAACAAAGGCAGGACACTTGGAAAAAATCAGTACATTTTGAGGTTTTTCTGTTTTGAAAAACTACCCAGTACAGACCTTTGAATACTAGTACGGTCCTGCAAAAAACAGGACGCATGATCACCGTAACTCTAAGACCCATAGTGACTCTCATGCTCAAATGGTTTTTAAGAATTATTTATGCTCTTTATAATGCTAAGCCTCTAAAATGTGGACGCTTTTAAACACACAAAAAATTGATTCCTACAGGGAATATTTATTTGTGAATTTGTGCATACATATGTATGTATCTATGTATGTACATTCATATGTACTTCGGTACGCGCACGTGCACGCGTTGCATTGCTTTCGCTGCGCTGCTTTAGGAAAATGCAACTCTTTCTATTTGCGGACAAGTAAGGAATCTATGGTTTGTGGCTGACCCAAGCCGATGGCCGCCGCAAATTGTAAACCCCAAACCACAATCGACATGCAACATTCAACAAGTTCATCTAACATTGTCAACTCTCGGTGACAATAATGCGGTTGTAAGCCGCCTCGCACATACCACGGCATGTAGACTAATACATCGCGCTAACTTAGGCGACTATTTTGAAATCTTTATTGTTATTGTTACCTGTTTTTCTTGTTGGATGGATAATTTTTTGGTTTTTTTTTGTTTTTTTTTTTTTTTTTTTTTTTTTTTTTTTGGTGTTGGTAAATGCTGTGTAAATGTCCATGAATGATTGTGACATGTTTCATGATTTTTTACAACGCGCCTATACAAAGACTTAGTCCATCTCATTTATACATATATACATATGTATATGCATTTTACTGCCATCGGCACTGGGCAATTTATTTGGACTCCTCGCAGTACTTCTATGCAATATCCGCCCGCATACGAGTAGTATTTACGATTATGTAGCCGATTTGCATGTCTGCCCGTTTGGCACTTAGCTTATTTGCTAAAGTTTTCCATTTTGTGGCGGCGATTAAAAAAAAAAATGGAATTTATGATCGCTGCGGTGGCTATTTGGTTGCATGCATCACTACTGCAAACGCAGTTACGTGGCCCTTGATCCGTGAACACTAACTTAATTTCTGGATATTTTCTAAAATTAATATTTCACGGTTATTTGTGCATTTCACCTGAGGTATTTGAAGTTAATGGGCTAGAGATTTGCATCCACTGCAACACTAATATGAATGCAAGCAATGCATTTCTTTACGTCAGTTAAGTAGATTAGAAATGTTTACGAGTCTAACATTTATTATTTATTCAAAACTTTTGGCAAAATTAATTAAAATACGCAGTTTGTGTTCCACTAAATAGCTTTTATAAAAAAAAATTTAGCTAATAATCTGGATTAACAGATATGATATTCCTTGAAAAGAGTTGCTACATTCTTTAAAACTTAAAACCAATTAATTAATATTTCATATAAAATATTGCAAAAGTTTGCATAAATGTAGAACGAAAGATTTTCCAAAACAATATATGTATTTTGAAAATATTTTTTAAGGGGGTTGCCACCTATAAGTAATTCAAAATGGATTAATTAACAAGGTGAATAAATTAGAAAAACAATGTAGGAGTCAAACGAAGGGGATTAAAAGCAAGTTACATCGAAAATATTTTTTTGAGGGCTGCCATCTTTTTAATAGGTTAAAATCAATTTAAGTTAAATTTAATTTAATTAATAATATGAATAAAGTGTTACAATTCAAGTGGCAAACTAATGAAATTTAAGAAGGCTTTATTTAGAAAATATTTTGATGGTGGTTGCCATCTCTTTAAAAGCCAATTCCAATTTTTTCATTACTTAAATAAAATATTACAATATGGATGTCAATCGAAAGATAAGAAAGCTTTGTTTAAAATATTTTCAAAGAAGGTTGCCACCTATCAAGAAGTCAATAAGCGAAATCAAACATAACAAAATGATGTCAAGTCAAAGTAAAAAGGTTTTATTTCGATTTTTTTTAAGTGGTTGCCACCTTTTTAAAAGTCAAATTAAATTGAGTCAGCTACTTTATTGAAATACTAGCAATACCCGGCGCGCGTTGCTACGCCAAAGAAAGACACATGTATTTAGAGTTTTGAAACTGAAGACCTTTTTATTTACCTTAATGCTAACAGATAAACAATATTTTAAGTTTTTTCATTTGGTGTGTAAATATATAAATTTTGTGGTGACCCAACTTGGGAACAGGCGACGTATAATTGGCCATGTGAAAAGCACATTCAAATCCAAACCCGCTATGGTTAATTATTGCCCTTGTGCTTTATTTATAGTTATTGCAAAAGCAAGACGCAATGGGCATTGAAACCGCTTGAATTCGAACGGTAAATCGTTTGAAACCATCGGTATACGTGTAATCAGCACACCTTCTCATTTGAATATACCGCTGATGATTGTTGCCTCGATCAAATTCGGTGTTAATTTTTTTTTATCACTGGTTCTGTTGCACAGTTTTGGCGCATTCAAG